GCATATCATTTATTAAAAGAAAACATATAAATAATGTTATACAAAATTATAAACTAAACTAATTTAGCTATACATTTGCCTTTACTTGCAATTCAGGACTTACTCAGCTGCTATAAGATACCCAAGTACAATCCACTACAATAGCAAAATTTTCTTTTCAAAAAAAAGGTTTGCTTAAGCAAAGTCACGATTAATTGATCAGCAGAAGGCTGCTATATGCCTATATTAAGATCACTTAATTAGAGCTACCCTATTCTTAATCCTAAATATTACTCTAAGGAAAAAAATAGAGTGTAGCCTAACTAAGTATAGAAAATAAAAATTGTTTAGATCTAAAGTAGCCATAATCTAAAACACAAATTCAAATTAAAAAAATCTGCTACAGATAAAAAAACTAATCTAGATATAAAAAAAAAAAAAGAAAAAGAAAACAAATAAGAAAAAAAACCTAATCTATGAAAAAGAGTCTCTTCTAAATTAATAAAAATATTACACTACACAACAATGAAAGTGTATATCTCATTGTTTGTACTAATTCTGTGATTAGATCCAAACAGATTGTCCTATGTGTTTAGCATTTCTATGTATTATTGTTTTCCTGTATAATATTGTGTATCAATAGACTGTTCTAATTTGGAAATGGTTAACAATATAGATCTTTGTATAGGAGTATGACAAATCCCTACAATTATACGAAAAAAAGACTAAAAAATCAAAAGGGAAGGTAGTAGTTGCAGAAACTATAGTAGCAAAAGAGAGTAAAGTACTTGACCCAGTTCAAGTACTGTAGTGGATACTTCTTCTTCTTCTTCTTCAACTTTTCTTCTTTTATTATTTAAAAACAAATAACATATTTCTTCAGAAAACCTCAATAGTTACTCTTCACTAAAGCCAAGTTTTATACTTTATACTACTTGTATCTATACAAAAACTAGTACCAAACTAGTTCAGATATGTATTTCTTGAAAATATTGGCTACGTTATTGTTTTTTAAAAATAAAAGTTTTGCTCCATATATGGTCTAGATGATTATTAGAAAGAGTAAATGCTTAGATCCTGTTTACTGTAATTTTATATTCTTTAAAGTTATTTAATGTGATTTCTTCTTTATTCTAAGGCCAGTTTGTATTAGCCAAGATTTTGCCTTTTGCTTTTTTTCAGGCTAGAAGATAGGGTTTTCATTCTGTAGGCCAGGCTTTAGATCGAATATTATCAGCTGTTAGTACTTGTAATAGTGAAATATCTCTTTTATCTCTAAGAGTTAATCTAATTTTATCTCTTTTATGTTTTGCCTAAAAGTACTCAGATAAGAGTAGCTTAAGCCAAACTGTTATTAGTCATGCATCTAGCATATCTTTGATTATAGGAGCTTGTAGACCAAGTTGCTCATATAATTGTTGAAAGACTGAGTATCTTAGAAGTATATAAAAATTACTCTTAATCTATAAGAAGATTAGTCTGTTTATCTCAGATACCTGCTTTCTATTTAGCAGAAGAAGGTAAGCTATATACCAAATTTTAGAGAGTATAAACGATTTGGTGAGTAGAATTTTCTTTTTAAAGATAAATTTCTGTTTGCAAGTTTATCTAGTAAGGTTTTAAGATTACTTATAGTAGATTTCCAGAGATTCTTTTTAGGAAGACTATTAGAGTAAATACTATAACTCAGTGTTATGAGAAGTTCACTCTCCTTAACTATATAGAGTTTGTTTGACTGTGATAATTCTACTCTAAATACTGTTGATGTAAGAAAAGCTAGTTTTGTTTTGGTTTTATTAATTCTTGCATTAGAAGCGTGCTCGTAAGTTTTTAGAAGTTTAAAAGTATATTTCCAGTCTGAGAGAGAGCTTATTCCTATTGCAAAATCATCTGCATAGGCTATAAGTTTAAAAGACTGATATCCTAGTTTAATACCTTGTAGATTGTTTTTTAAGTTTAGTAGCAAAGATTTGAAAGCAAGTATATATAAAAGATATGAAAGTGGGTCTCTCTATCTTACTTCTCTTTCTATTTTAAAGGCTTTAGATAGTTCTCCTGTTTTAAGGATATGGGCTTCTTGGTTTGTAAAAAGGTTTTTAACTAAAGAAATAAACTTTCTGTTAAAGTTTATTTTTTTTAGAACTAGTTCTAGAAACTCATAACTTATACGATCGAACACTTTCTGTTGATCTAAGAAAAGTATTTAATGTTACTTAGTATTGTCTTATTGACTTTTTAGAGTTGTTATGATATTTATTGCAGTATCTGATATTGATCTGTTCCTAACAAAACCTTGTTGCTGTGAGGAGATTACTTCTTGACATATTGTGTTTAGTCTGTTTGCTAAAATTTTCATAAAAATTTTAGCATCACTGTTTACTAAAGAAATTAGTCTCTAGTTGTTTAGATTTTCCAGATCTGAAAATTTCTTTGGAATAAGTATAATTAGATTTTTACATCATGATTTAGATAGAAGACCTAAGCATAGTACTTGATTAAAGAGATTATATAGTAAAGGAGTGATCACTTTCTCTATGAGCTTATAGAATTCATAGATGAAACTATCAGAATTAAGTAACTTATTATTTAGTAGGCTTCTAATCGTATTTCTTATTTCTTTAAGAGAGATTTCTTGTATTAGTGAAGAGTTTTGTATTTTTGTAACTTGTAAAGCTTTTTTAATGATTTTGTTTGCAGTAGCTAAATTAATCTCTTCTTTTTTGTAGATTTTTAAATATTCTTCTCTTATATAAGAAAGAGTATTATCCTTGTTCTGAGCTGTATTCAAAAGATCCTTAATTTCACTAAGAGCTGAGTAAGATTTTCTAGATTTATATTTTAAGAAGAAATATTTGGTCGATTTTTCATCTTGCTCTATTTATTTAGTCTTAAAGTGGAGTTGCTATTTTTCTGCTAAAAGAGTGAGTTCTTCTTGTAGTTTAGAGTTAAAGTTGTCTGCTTGAGTAGAAAGGTATATATTTGTAGAGTTTTCAGCAAGTTTTTTGTTTATCTGAGTAATTTGTTTATTAAGTATTAATATTTTGCTTTCTGAAAGTTTTGGTTTTTTGAAGGCTTTTTTTTTTTTTTTTTTACTTGATAAACATGTCATCAGCAAGATTTTTATTGGTATAAATAGTTTTGAGCAATGATTACATATATGAGAGTACAACTAGCTATATATACAACTTTAGATTATCTAATTTAAGTAGTCCGCCTAAAGGTTCTACACTAGCTGCTATACCTGAAATTTATTTGAAAATTCCCTATTTAAACTCTCTAGCTATATGCTATTTCTATCCCACTATCATTTATTATCTAAATTCACCTAACTCCATACTACTTCCATTTTCAGAAGACATCAACAGAGCTGACATGAATCCACAAACTTTATGATTCGAAGTCTAGGCCTATCTCAGGTACTCTTTTCCCAACTTCCTAATCGATGGGTGCTGTGGTATCCAAATATGCTATGCTATATCCCAATCAAGCTTGCAAATATCCTTGTTCAATGTTCGTACAAACTCAGTTCCTACTGTAGTCTTCTACTAAGTTAGTCATCTGTGCCTCTAGATATTACACGAAGTAGATCCTCCCAAATCTGTTGTTTGGTGTTGCCTGCTTTGCTACCAGATATCATATGAGACAGATCCTCCTAAATCCAGTTAGCTGCCAAGCCAAGTTGGTGTTACTGTATAACCTCATGTAATAGACTTACTCGCATCTGTTTCATTGATCCTTCTGTACTCAGGACTTACTCATATCTATTTCGCTAATCTTTTTATACACAGATTTCCTTTCCCAGATCAGACATTAACTAGTATGACTGTTGAAATCTGTACTACTTCACCTAACTCGGGATTTCTACCATGCAAATCCTCTGCTCGTAAATCCTATTAAGATTTATTTGTATAACATTATGCCTCACTGAATGCCTCGTCATACTTCCAATACCTGATTAGCATTAGTACAACATGATTTACAGGGTTACAACTCCAGAAACAGGCAGAGTTTACCTTAAGTTAGATACAGATATCTAGATAATTATTCAATTCTGTATATAGTGGAATTTGAACCCTAGACCTCTTGCATAGCGGTCTGGCAATCTAACCACTATACTAAGATTACCAGACCTTTTTGAAGGCTTTAATAATTGATTAGATATATATTTTGTATAAGTCTCAATTATTCATATTTTTATTTTCTTGTATTTCTTCTATTATTTCTTTTTTTAGTCTCTCATTATGAAAGCAGTTTTTATCAAACTTTCACAGAGGTGACTTGTTTGTATTTGATGTAAACTTTAGCATGCATTCTACTAGAAGGTGATCAGAGTTACTATATTTAGTATTAGTTTCATAGATCAAGTGAGCGTAGTTTTTATCTATAAAGATATAGTCTAAGTAAGTTGCTATCATTCTGTTTCCTCTTATTTTTTGAAAAAAGGTATGGAATAGTTTGTTAGTTACAAGCTCTGAAGAATCAATAAAGTTTTTTGTGAGGTCTTTAAGTTAGGATCTTGTTGGATCATTCTGTAATAAGAACTCACTAATTCTATCTCATTTGGGATATATATTAATATTAAAATCTCTTGTGATAATATTTATCATATTGTTTTTTACTTGAGGAGACTAGTTGTTAAAGAAAATTAATCGTTCACTTTGACTAGGAGATGCATAAATATTTGTAAGCTAGAAGGTTAAATCTTTATAGCTAAAATTTGTAGTTATAATTCTGCTATTTGCTTCTATTTTGGAGTTCTGAAAAGTTATATTTTTGTTGCCTGCTAATATAGCTGTTTTGTTTGACCATAATGAATCAAATGCCTATTGTTGTTGTAAAAATATTTGTGTATTTTTGTTGTTAAGGTTTGTCTCTTGAAACATTATAATATCAAGATTATAAGACTTAAGAAGAGTAAAAGTATTTCTTTGTTTCTGTTGATTGTTTAGTTCTTTGACATTTAGGATTCTAATTTTTATCTTTGATTTTTTAATCATAAGAGTTGAGTTAAGGTAATAATTTTAGATCTGCATATTTTGGCTCTCATTACAAGTTTTTTTTTGTAAAGAGTAGTTTTGGTCTCTTCTTGATTTTGCGCAGATACTTTCTTTTTGTCTTTTTTTCTTTTATTTGTAGTGATTATATATTCTCCTTCTGAACAGTCAAGTTCTTGCAGTTCATGATTATTGTTATCAATAATAATCATAGGAGAATTTACCTCTTGTGCTATTTTCTTGTCAGAAGTAGTAGCATTTGTTAAGCTAATTTTCTGAGTTTTTGAATCTTTCTTTATATTTGTATCTTCAGTAGTTATAGTTATATCCTCTGTTCTTTTGGATATGCTAGCTTGAGTATTGTTACTTTTATTAATTCTAGATATATCTTGTTGCTTTTCAGTAGAAGAGTTTTCAGAATATTCATCTATACATATTTTTTTTTTTTATTATTATTAAGGTAGCTTCCTTTGCTAATTAGATTTTATTAATTTGTTATTACAGAGCTACCACATGAGTAGACTTCTAGGGTTTTATAGTTACATAATGAGTGTACAACAAGCCACATGTATAACTTTAGTCATTGTCTAATTTAAGTAGTCTGCTATACAGATGATCAACTATCTGTTAGTTCTATACATGCTGCTATATCTGCAACTCACCTGTGAGTTACCTATTTAAACACTCTGATCATTAACCTTTCCCTCCATCCCAAACCAATGTCACTACTATGGCTGACTACTTAAGCTACTGGCTTACCTTTGGATCTATTTACTGCACAGCTTAGGTTCTCTTAGAATGCGTATGTCCAACATATTGTGAGCTGTAGAGCTCCAGTTAACTTTGGAAGCATATCTACTAGAGCGGTCCGTGCTTATTTCATAGATTCATCTAGCTAAGACCCTTGTGGATATTCATATACCTCCAGTTCCTACCATAGCTCTCCGCTAGTATCATTTACAGATCTCACTGAGGCCTATCATGAGTTAGATCCTCCTAATCTAGTTAGCTGCCAAGCCAAGTTGGTGTTACTATAACATATAGTAATCACCACTGCGATACAGACTTATATGCACCTGACCCGATTAAAGTCTTTGAGCACTGTATCCTTTTGGATCAAGCATTAGCTAGTATGACTATCAAAAGCTGTACTACTTCATCTACTCAAGGTTTCTACCATGCAGGTCTCCTGCCTGTAGATCCTATCAAGATTTATTCATATAATATTACATCTCTTCAAATATTGCGTCACACTTCTAATATTCGGATAATATTAGTGCAATGTGATTTACATAGTTACAACCCCAGAAACAGACAAGGTTTACTGTAAGTTGAGTACAAAGGTTTGAGTAATTATTCAAATTTGTCAACAGTAAGATTTGAACCTCAAATCTCTTGCATGGCAGTCTGGCAACCTAACCACTATACTAAGATCACCAGACCTTTGTCTATACATATTTCTTAGATTAAGGAAGAAGGAGTTGATATGGTTTTTTCATCTAATGTGTTTGAGATAAGTTCTAGAGTTTTTTCTTTATTCTTATTCCTTTGATACTCTTTAAAATGACAATAAAATGCTAAGACTTCTTGATATTGTTCGCAATCTCTCTTAACATGATTTTCTTTGTTACAGAAAAAGCAAACCTTTGGAGCTGACTTCTATTCTATAGTAATTTTGTTTTCTAGCAGAATATAAAAGTGATAAATTCTTTTTTCTAAGTCTAGTTCATTTGTAGTATCAAAAATGATAATCTATTAGTTAGTTTAGGAAGTTCTTTTAATTAAGAGTAGTTTGATCGATATAATTTTTTCTACATCTTCGAAGCTCTCCTTAATAGCTTCAGAGATTAGGTTTTTATCTTGTAAAGGAATATTTCTGATTTTGACTAGAAGAAATGATCTTCTATTATCTGTAGGAATAGAGCCAAAATATGTTTTGTTAAAGATATCTACTCTTTTAACTACATACTCTTGTAATTTTTCTTTGTTAGCAAAGATAATTTCTAAGTAAGTATGAGCTCTCTTATTGATATATGATTTTGCTACTACTATGTCATTTCTCACATTATTATAGAGAGATACCATAATATTATTTAAAGAACAGTTTTTTAAACTGTTAATATATAGTACTAAGGCATTATTATTTTTGAATCTAATATTACTTCTTGGAGAATAGGAAGTAAAGATAAATTGGCTCCTTTTGATCTTAGTGAATAGGCTAGACCAGGATTTTTTTTGGTTTCTTTGCAAACTCGAGGAGTTTGTAAATATTTCTAGATGAGATTTATTTGCTAGTTTAATACATGTATTTGTTGTTTTGGTCATATCAGTATTGTTTTGTATAGTATCACGTATTTTTTTATCTATTGTTTTGTTTTTGTTATTCTTGCTTTTTTCTGCTTTTTAAGATATATTGGTTTTTTCTTTTTCAAGCTCTTGGCTTACTTGTTCTTCTCAGTTAGATGAATTAGTTAATAATTTCTTTTGTTTAGAATTATTAGAACTTATATCTTTCTTGCTAGTACTTGTAGCAGAGTAAAGATTTTCTTTGTTGCTACTACTTGCTTACGAACTTTCGAAGAGCATAATTTTTTTGTTTCTTATATTTTCTAGATACCAAAGTTTACGTTTTTTGAGAACTAAAGCTAAAGCCCAAGTTCTGTTAAAAAAATAGTTTTAGTTTCTTTAGTATTAGATATTTTGTAAAAAGTTTTTGCTTTCGAGCCTAACTTTATGTAGTCAGAAGAGAGTGCATATAGATCAAAATTAAATTTTAAATTTTAAAAATAAAAAAAAAAATAAAAAAATAAAAAAATAAAAAATAAAAAAATAAAAAAAAATAAAAAAAAATAAAAAAATAAAAAAATTAAATTTTAAAAGAAAATAAAAAAATTAAATTTTAAAATAAAATAACAAAATTAACTTAACAAATAAATAAAGTATAAAATTAAATAAAATAATAATTTAATAAATAGATAAATTAAAAAAAATCAAATTATTTAATTAAAAAATTTAAAAAAATAAATAAAAAAATATGAAATAAGTTTAAAAAATTAAAATTAAATAAAATAAAAATAAAATAAATTTAAAAATAAAAAATAAAAAAAATAGTAAAATAAGTTTAAACAAATTAAAAAAAAAATAAAATATAATAAAATAAAATAATTTATTTAACAAATAAATAAATTAAACAAAAGAGAAAGGAGGGACACTCTCTCCATCGATCACTCCGACCAATTTTGGAGCAGAAAGAAAAATCAAGTTAACTCAAAGATTTTACTAAGAACAAGCACTAGACTCCTTAAGTAAAAAGGAAGAAAAGAAAGAAATA